CATCTGTATTAACTTATATTCATACACTTTGTCGTCTTTGAATTTTTATCTTGTGTTGTCTACAAGTGTGCTCATATTTTATTAAACCTTGTCAAAGGTTGATTTGGTTATATCCTCAAATAGAGTTTGATTTGGTACTCATTTGGTTGACGTGTAAGCTAACCATCCACTTATTGTCAGTTATTCATTCCCAACTCCCTTTGGTTAGTCAGTTTACTAGTTCTCTACTAAGATGAGCTGAAATATGGATAGGTGGTTTACAATACGAGATGAATAATGGAAAGGCAGATTTAACCGTGAAGAGTATAAAACTGAGTTATAGGGTGGGATTGTCACAAGTTTTCTTGTGTAGGTATTGTTGTTTGGGAAGTCATATTGGCGGATTAGTCGAAGGTTGTTTGAATATGGTATTTGTGAGTAATTGATTATCGTGCCATAATTTTTCCCCTTTCGGTGAGTAAACCTGATGTTGTGTAATAGCCGGAGAGGTGACTGTGTGAATATGCATTCCATCACCCCTTCCACATGTGCTCTTCACGGGCAATACTGCCGTTTTTTAATCTAAAAACAGGGTTAGCACCCCACACTTGAGAGTTCCCATGTTGAAGATCAATGTGCTACGCCAAGCCTTCTTCTTCAGAGTACTTGGAATAAGGCGTAAGTTCTACTCATTGGGGGTAAGCGTTCATATTCTTTTTGCATCTGCACTGTTTGCCTGCAATGGTTTCAAAGTCTGACATCACAAAGATTTCTGGTAGTGGAAAAATCGATGCGATTTGCGGGTTTGATCCCGTGGTACTCAAGGACCACTTGAGCTATAAATCCTCATGGCAAATATTTTCCATATCTTGAGGTCATTGTGGTTGTAGTGTTGTTCTGGCATGAATGTTTATGTCCTCAGTATATGGTTAAATGTGAAAATGCCCACTTGAATCTATTTCTGACACAGTTGAGTACCAGCATGTGGCCTGGCTTCTCATATGACTTTTTGGTGTGTGGGTGTGGGCCTCAATTATTTCACTTGCAGCTACCGACAATTTGACAATGTGGTGATGTCTATACCTTTACCACTAGTCTATTCACATCCTCCTGTTTTAGGGGCCATTTGGTTGGCAACTTCATCTGCATATTTTATTGTCACGCACTCGAGTTCGATTTCTGGAAACTATGTTAAACTTAGGACTCTTTGTCACCAATATGTGATTAACATCTTTTTCACCTCCTCACGTGACCTCCGACAGGTTCTGAGGGATCTCTGGGATGAGGTTCATCCTTTTATTTTTCACCTTGTGTGTGCTTATAGTTAATCATGTGCCCTCTCTCAAGTAGTAAGTACTCTCTCCCAAATTTAAATGGTTTATACATTATTATTTATGTGATCTAATTATATTTATTTTTTTGTTTATTTTTATTAGTCATTTGATGAAATAATATAATCATGTCACTGCTTGTTTTGTAGAGTTTTTGATGTAGTTTTTAAATATGTAAATTGAGTAAATTCCCAATATAGTCTTTTGTAATAAGGTGTTTCCCAAGTCAGTCTTCAATAAGTTTTAATTACATGTGGTCTCTATAATTGAGATTTATTTTCAAGATGGTCTTTCATAAATAATGTTACTCAAATGAGGATTAATTGAGGGTATTTTAGTTTTTTTTATTCGCTACATTTAGAATTAATTCTTAAAATAATCATTTATAAAGAAGTGCTTTCCCAAAATAGTTTTTTTCTAATTAAAGTTGTGTATTTGATTTGAAATTTAAAATTTTTTTTTTTATAAATTTTAAATAATTTATGAATTATTTATAGTCAATGTATTTTTTCAATTTTATATTTAGTTGTACAGAAATAACTGTTTTGAGAATATATACTTTAAATTTAGATGATCAAAATACCAAAATATCTTCTAATTAATTATCATTTGAATAACATTAATTATGAAGGACTATTTTGAAAATAATTTTAATTATAGAGGACAATGTACGTAATGAAAACTTGTTAAAGACTGTATTGAGAAAATACCTTATTACAAAGGACTATTTTGGGAATTTAGTCATGTAAATTTTATTTTTTAATTTCTTCCTAATTATCTTATAAATTGAATAAAAAATAACTCAGTCAAATATCGTAAATCATATGAGGTGGATGTAGGATCTTATTGGATGTGTTTTATTGGTTGAGTTTGACTTTTTCAATTTAATTTTGATAAACATTGAACATTATTATATTTTTCTTATAGAAAATTCTTAAAGAATTATTACATTGTATTATCGTTCAATATAATTTTACCTAGTCGATATTAATTTTTTTTGTTTGTTTTAAAAAGTTAAATTGAATGAATATTCTGGAAGAGTATTTTAAATATTAAAGTACTTCATATATACCTTGTATATATATATTAATGTTCCTAAAAGAATGAGATTCGGGGAGTACTTCAAGCGTTCAATACTGGGTGTAAAATGATTTGGTGGGATTTGACTTTGAACTAAGGATAGATTTCATTGATATTAGATTTATTTACCTCCATAGATAACTATGTGGATCAGGCTTGGAGAGACCCAAGGATGAGGTTCATCGTCTTATTCTAAAAAGCATGAGAATATGGGTATTGAGTACTTCTTTCGTTTCTTAAAATCTTTCTACTTTTCTTTTACCCGTCTCAAAAGGCTGAACACTTTTTATTACGAAGTAAAAAATATTTTTACTTTTATTAACTTTTGTCTTATCTATCACATTATATCTATTCATTAATTACGTTAAGGATAATTTTGAAAAACTAACACAAATATTTTTTAAATTCATAAGAAATTTGAAAGAGAAATGTTTTAAGGAACAAAGTAAGTATTAGAAATTCACATTGCAAAAAAATCACATATTTTACGCTGACGTAGCCCTTAGATTTGTGGCTTTACTGGTTAGATAAATGATCTGTCAATGATTGTTGTTGCTAGAGGATGTGGTTATTTATTTGCTCAGTATTTATTTGCAGTTTTATTTTCTTCTTAACAAAAATAACGTTTTGTTTCACTATTTATCCTGGCAATTTTTTCCATTTTTTGTGTTTTTTCGTTAATCATCTTATAAACAAATTAATATGACCATATCATCTACTCGTATTGTTTTGTACTTTCTCCGTCCCAACTTATAGTGCATGTTTATTATTCACATGATCAATCTTCATTCACTTTCTTTATCTATTTTCGTTGGCAATTTGATAAAATAATATACTATTGTCACTACTAGTTTTGTAGATATTTTGATGTAGTATTTTAATACTCCCTCCGTCCCCTAGTTTTTGTCTACTTTTGACTTTTGGAACTGTTCATCTAAGCACTTTGACTCATCAAATTTTCTCAATGTGTAAACCTAAATATAGTCTGGTGTGATCTTGTTTAATTTGTCTTAACATATAGATTATTAATATATAGTTTCTATAATTTTTTAATATACAAATTACAAGATAAAATAGATTAAAGAAGTGCATTGGATGGTGTGTAAAAATGAAAGTGGACAAAAACTGGGGGACGGATGGAGTATGTAATTTTTATTTTTTAACTCTATACCATTTGTTATATAAAATGATTTAAAAATAATTTCGGTCAAACTTCGTAAACAGAAACAAGCACTATAAATTGGGACAGAGGGAGTAGTATACATGTATAATTTTTAGGTTTAAATTTTATATAAATCTTCTTTTAAATTAAATCTAAAATGATTTCAGTCAAATATTTTGAACTAGAATTGAGCTTCATTTGATGAGGTAGTATTTAACGCGGTTGGCATGTATGGTACTTTGGTAGTTGGCTTTCAAGGTGAGGGTGGTCCATCCTTTTATTCAAAAGTGTATCTATGATCATAGGAGTTTGGTGAGGTTAAAATGTGATTGAAAATTATTGAGTGGACTGAATACATTTTAGTACTCCCTATTTCACAAAATGTTCTTTCAAAAATAATAACTTGAAGAAAGGATGTGTCGGCGGGTGTTGCACAATTGGCAAGGGAAGAAGTGCCAAGGGGATAATATCCGAATTCGATTCGTGTTAATTGCGCTTGAAAGTAATTATACTAAATATAGGGTGTCTGCAAGTACCGGGTGCAGACTAAACTATTTGCCACAAATATGTGATTAAAGCGCAGTCTTGTTACTGTTCTTGTTTATTGTCTACCTGGTTCTGAGGTGTCCTTTGAGAAGAGGTTCTTTTTTTTGCAAAGAAATGATGCTCAAAGATTAAGATTATTTCTTACTTTTGTTTTTGTCTCAAATTTAAGTTTTTGTTTACTATTTACAGACAAACTATATGTCATATCTTTGCACATGTTTGTTGACCGTTTGTTAAAATAAAATAAACAAGTTATTCCTTAATCAGTATTTCATAGAATTTTTTGATGCAATTTTTAAATACGGAGTACATGATCTATTTATTAATTTTACACTCATGTTCATTTAGTTATTCATTTTCCCTTTTTTTTTGAAATTGTGCGTTGCTCTTGCACTACAAATCATGTAAATATGTGATGCACATGATATATATGTGGGTATTATCCAAAACAAAATGTGGTTAACAAATTTATGTTCTCATCCTCATCGTGAGCTCATGATATATGTGGGTACAATCCAAAAAAAAGGAAAGAAAGTGGGCATAATCCATGTTGATGACGACTTCACAATTTTTGTCTTCTTATCAAGCTTGGGACAAGATATTGAATTACAAAAAACATCCCTACTACTTTCTCCCTCTTATTATGAAAGTTACAATTTGATTGGACAAAATTAAAAAAAATAAAAATGTGGTTAGTTACATTTGTTTAGATGATAGAGTTATATGAGGCAATTTGTATGAAAAAAATTAAAAAATTAATATGGACTACAATTGTAGGGGGGAACAATTGAGATAATCTAAATAGAAAAATAATTATGAGACAGAATAATTTGGAATGATGCAAAGCTTTGGACAAACTGCAAATTACAATTCCACTTGACTCAAAAGCTCAAAAAGAGAAAAAGAATGGAGAATTGAACTTGACCATTTACTTTCTGTGGTGAAAAGTGAAAACAGAAACCAAAGAACATAATGTTTCCATCAATTACATTCCTTTGGAAAACAACAATGACCAAAAGGCCCTCTTAAACAAGAAGTGAATAAAAAAAACCCAGAAACCAAATCTCATAAAACAGTGATGACATTGGGCAATCAAAAGATTTTATTACATTTAATTTCTTGATGATGATATCTTCTTGATGCTAGAACTCAGCTGAATGAGTTGAGAAAAAAGTCCCCTTCTTGGGACACCTTGAATTCAAGATGAACATCAACTGGGAGGTGGCCACCGGCCGGTTCAACACACGACCAGTATTCTGGTGACGGGAGTGGAAGTCCGAGAGGGATCGACGGTTGTTCATGTAAGGCTGTTTGGTTCGCGGCGGATTGCGTAATGGAAGTGCTCTCTTGTTGTTGTTGTTCGCACGAAGAACTCCATGAAGAAGTTGACAGAAGAGAGAGAGCACGAGCTGGGAATTCCTCTGTCGTCATGCTTGTTTCCATATAGAACATGGATCCCTTCACACCTATTAAACAACAAGCACACAAACGCGTAAATAATAGGTTTATAAGCTCTTAAGTTGAACTAGGTAATTGATTGGATTCAATCTTTTAATGCAGTTTAGTCCTGCTGTCTTTTGATCCAGTCTAGTGATCCCAATCCCATCCTAAAATTCGACTTGACGATAGAGAGTAATTTGAAAGATTACCAAGGGCAATTTCGACTTTATTTCGGGTACCAACATACCTTGTGTGAAGCCATCCAATGTGGGGCCCTTGGAATCCAAGAGTGTATCATTGGACGCGTAACTATCATGAAAACTGATTGTTGCGTTTGGCGGGTGGATACCCGAAGAGATGTATGGCTGTTGCTGCTTGTTTGTCCTGCTGGGTTTTTCGGCCTCGGGGGAAAACCCTCTTGTAACGATGAACTTGTTGGAGGCATATGTGTTGCTGTTGTCCCAGCAACTTGAATTTGATGCAGTTTTGCTGGTGCCAAAAAGTGGGACATTGTTGTTCATCATGAAGTTTATTTGTTGCCTACCATCTGCAAATCCAAGAAAACTCTGGTTCATTCAACTTTGTAACTGTTTTTTTTCTTTTCTAACAAACAATATGAAAAATGAAAATGTTTTATAAACAGTGTCAAAGTCGGATTCATAACCATACCATAAAAGGAAGGAGAGACGCGATTAGCAGAAGTATTGAGCTGAAACACATCGTTTTGTGGCTTGCGCCGCCTTGCATTGTGATCACAAAGTCTGCGTCTACAGCTACGCTTCTTTTCATCAAACTCTGCCAAGCTATGGAACCTTCAACAATGGAGGTTCATTCCACACACACATATATTTTGTGTGTGTGGGGGGGGGATTAGTTACTCGGGTATGATATAACAGAATTCTTCGATATTATAAAAGTAATGGGTCAAGATTGTATAAACAGGTTCTAATACGATTAATTTTCTTGATTGAAAAATTGAAATGGCGCCTCTTTTATTGTGCATAATCCCACAAAGAAACGCGTCTTGTGGATTTACTCATATATCCTTTTACTTGAATAAGAAAGTAATGCCATGGGGGTGAGGATTTCGTGGCAATGTAACAGTGGTGGTGTGTATGTAGTGTACTAGGAATGGGGGGTAATTTCGAGAAAGAAAAATGCTATTGTAAGTTGTAACACCAGGGTTTGCCACCATTGATGACACCACTATATGTCCCATAAAATGAATGACTGTCTGTGCATTGTCCGTGAGACACAATGGTGTCAAACTCGATGTCACTCTATCATGGGTCCCTTTGGGAAACACACATATACCTGCTACATTGCTGGCAAAACCGCCGTTCTAAGCCTCCCACAATGACTTTCGGGTACTTTGAATGACTCTCACAAACCCTATGCTTCCGGTGATACTCTTTCCCTGAAGAAAGATCAATATTGCATCCCTCTACCTGACACCGTGGTACGGCTGTCCCACCCTGACAAGACGAGGGCTTTCTCGTCTTTCCACCAATTCCCCCACCACCACCGCCACTGCAGCTGTTGTTTTCAAAATATGTCCTCTTGCCGAGCTTCAACCCAATGCACGCTTCCCTGCAATTTTCCATCTTCACATCCACAAAAGGGAAGATGGCCTCTTTTGCCCCTGTCGTGCCTCCCGAGGAAGAGTGGGTATAGCCTTGTCCCACATCGGAGGCATAACCACCAGACAAATTAAAGGATCCGTTGACAATTTCGCCCTCTTCTTCGACTATTCCCCAGTCTGTTAGTTGCAGTTTCTTTGGACTTTCACAGGCTTTTGAGCTAAGCTTAGCTATGCTTTCCCAGTCCCACTTTGCACTCCACTCCATCTCCAATTATTATAAGTTGTATTGATGAAATTAAATCTGCAAAAAAAGAAGAAAAAAAGTTGCATCATACACCATCAATTAATCAAGCATTTTAGGGGCTGTTTGGTAGTCATAATTGACCTGTGTAAATAATCCAATGCTTTAACAATATTCATTGCAAAAACTAAGTCTTACCAAACGAGCTCTTAAGATACACGCTCCCCGTTTAAATGCAAAAGAAAAGACTACCAAACAAGTGGAGAATGAAACCATACCAGTTGGAACTATAAATTTATAGTGTCAATTTATAGCCTAAATGTAGCAGACACCATAAATTTCATGCCAAAAAAATGCAAATTTTGGGTATGAATGCCCTTTATTGTGGTAATCATTTTAGAGAAGAAAAATGTAAATCTGGAAAGATATATGACAAATAGAAAAAAGATGAATTCAAGATTACCTCTTGAAGAAAAGAAAAGAAAAGAAGCTAACTTACCATATGGGTTTCAGCTTATGATATGGCAAAGATGCAAACTTTCCAAATCTTTATCCCCTTTTTACCCTCAAAAAGCACTCCCAACCCAAACCAAGCTGAAACAAAAAATTACCAAAAAATAAAGGATAAGCCTGTTGTCAAAAAAATAAAGGATAAGTCAAAAACATCTTCATATTCACCACTTCATATCTGTCTTTATCCTGCAAAGTACCTCCAATCATTCAACCTCCATCACTTTCAAGAAAGGTAGACACACATAGTTAAAAAAATTCACATTTCAAGAAATTTACTGAGCTAATGGATTAAAATAACAGACACAAATGCATGAGTAGGATTGACTTGGACACAAGGGTTTAGATTAGAGAAGAAGCCCACAATATTATCCCCTAAATCCCAACAATAATGCTCAAAGTCTACTTTGTTCCATCTCTTTCCCTTGTTCACACTCAATGTCTCTTTCAACTTTTCAACTTGCCAAATCAAATCATAAACTAAAATTAAAATAAATAATTAAATAAAAAAAGTTGCAAATCATTCATAAAGAAAGATTGAAGAAACAAACAAACACCCACTCATTTCATATTTCCCTTCCAAAACTGAGTAAGTGAAGAAAACATCTCCAAAACACCCCACCATCAATGTTAGGTCTATTCTCACTTCCCCACCCAACCCTACCCCCACCCACACCCCAGTGTGCGTGTAGATGAACGACGTCGTTTCCATCCCCTACAATATATCACCAAGATCTGTTCCTGACGTGGAGACCATGTTTTCTTGCAAAAATAGAGGAGAAAATCTAGAGTACAAAAAGGAAAAAGAAAAGAAAAAAAAGAGGCAGAAGCAATAATTCCCAAAATTTAGGTAAAAAGAAGCTCACACGAAATTGGAAATTTCACTGCAGTTCTCCCCAAAACTGTAAAAAGATGACAGCTTTAGTGTTTATAGATAAAGAAATCATTTTTATCTCCTTACCCTTCTGGTAATATCTTATCACAGTACAGCCGCAGGGGTTTGTGATGATTGCCAAACGAGACTTTCACTTGTTGAGGACAAAAGAAAGAAGGAATGTGAAGGGAAGAAAAAGGTTACCCCAAGAGAGAGTAAATGGAGAGTTCCCAAGAAATGGAGAGGAAAGAAAGAGTGTGGAGAGAGAGGGAGAGATAGATAGATATGGGAAGAGACTCAATGAGATAGAAATGGAGAGTTGTTTACCTTAAAAGGTAGTGTCAACACTAAAGGGCACAAATAAGTGTTTTTAGGGAGCTCCTTTTGTCACTCTTAAGTCTTATCTATTTAGTCTTTCTTTAAAATGAATTTTAATAGATCTCTCATTTGCTTGCATCTTTGAGTATACTCAGTATAGTCTAAAATAAATTCATGCAAATGAGAGTGACAACATCTTTTTTTTTGATATATTTGTATCATTATTTCTAAACTTTTAAAAAATTGCACGCATTCTCCGTGAACTTTAAAAATTACATTTATTCCTCCTAAATTTGTAAAAATGTTGCATTAATGATCTCTATATCATATTTAGGAGTGCGTTTATCATATGTTCATCAAGTGCAAGTTTGGATTCGTCTAAAGTCATATATCACATACGAGTTCTGCAATTTGTCCTTTCTAAACATTATCTTTTATATTTTTAATATCTTTCAATTTTAAATAATTATTCTTGATGTAGTTATCAGTTTCAAATTTGAAAGTCAAACATCTACAGACAAAGCTCGTCATCAACCGATCAACCTATTTATTAATCAATGATATCTTCATCAGCTCTAGCATGTATATTGACGAGCTTGTAACTAAAGCGCTCTCAAATCTGGTATAAAGGGACCATTGGTGCAATATTATTAGAAGTCTAGGGGCATTGGTGGAATTTTAAAAATTCAAAATGAATCCATGCAATTTTTTGAAAAAGTTTAGAGGTAAATGATGCAAAAAACTCGTTCTATATTTCTATATTTCAACTCAAAGATTCAAGATCTCAATGGTCTTACATAACTTGTACTCCCTCCATTCCATAAAGATATGGACGGTTTGATTAAAATGGTAAAATAAGGAGAGATAATTTTATGTTGACTTTCCAAAAATATCCTTGATGTGATGTATAGATTATTAGAATAAAGATATGATATGACAAATAGTAGGATATGAAAAAATAAAGAATAAAAGTGGTTATTTAATAAAAATGTAAATGAATTTATGAGAAGGAGCGAGTACATGTTTTACGTTCTAATAGTTGTCATCATATACTGATTTGCACGTTTATAATTGATTTCACATTTTTTTGAGTAACGTCATCTTATTTATAATTAATTATTGTACCTAGCTAAGCATTTAAAAGTGGAATGAGCAAAACAGGGACAACTCGTAATAATTAAGAGTTGGGCTTTGTAGGTTGGATTTTGGGCCGGAGTCTAGGTATCCAAATATAGGCTTAGAGTATTCAATTTCTTCATATATTAGTTGGGTTTCTTGTACACAACATAACACATAAGCATATAAAAAACTCTTCATGGTTTGTACTTCCTCCGTTTCTTAAGACGGTTCTTGTTTTGACTTTGGGGCTAAGCATTTCTGCCCCTGATGTGATGGGTAAAAGTAAGATGTGATAGTTTAGTTATTAGTGAAAAAGTATGATGTGATAGGTAGGGTATGAAAAAGTAGAGGTGAAACTGGGTTTTTAATATAAAAAAGAAATGTTTTAAGGAAAACAAAAAAAATGAAAGAGGAAGGGTTTTAAAAAACGTAGAGAGTATCTTTTTAGTAAAATAATGACACTGGTTGACCATACATTAGACATAATTTAAACAAATAAATGTTGTAAAACTTGATATATCAAAACTATATCCTCCAATGAACTCAATTATATTGAATTTATATTACGGAGTATAATTTGATATACTTTTCTCACAATTTGAGATCAAAGAGTGTCACTGTTTGAATAAAAAAGGTCAAAACTTCAAGAGCTTTTAGAACCCATTAAATTTTTTATTCAAAACGCTAACGTGATAAAAAACTAACATTCCCAAACAAGACCTATGTCACACACCACATTAAAAGGTAGAGTAGGTACACCTCACATTTGGCAAGTTTAACCTTTTTACAAACAAAATAGGAACAAAAAACCAATAAATGTGATTTGATTAAACGGAATAGGCTTTGAGTTTGGAGGCGAGGCGGGCGAGTGCGTTGGCAGAAGAACCATCTGGCCCGAATACCCGATGAGCTGCTTCTTTCAGCTCTCTCATCCGTTTACGCACTTCTTTCGCCTCGTCCCCTTGTATCAATGCCTTTATCGTGTCACCAATTTCATCTCTACCTACCACCCCGTCTTCTCCGATTTTTGGCCTCAACGCGACTTTAAGATCTTCTATCAACATCACCGCGTTCATTCTCTGCTCGGCGTACATAGGCCAAGCGATCAAAGGAACCCCTCGGACCACGCCTTCGAGGATCGAGTTCCACCCACAGTGGGTCAGAAACCCACCTACGGCATCGTGACTCAAGATTTGAGATTGAGGAGCCCAATCGGGCACGACCAAGCCCAACTCCTTGGTTCGTTCCCCGAACCCTTTTGGCAGAAAGTCAAAAGGGTTGGTCAAACTCTGGACGCTAAAATAGGCAGCGTTGGAAGCCGCGTCATTTGGGCACTTGACCACCCATACGAACCGCTGCCCGCTTGCCTCCAAGCCATTCGCGATCTCGGTGAACTGCTTCTGTGTGTGGGTCCCGCCGCTCCCGAAAGACACGTAGACTACTGACGCACGTGGCTGTTTGTCCAACCACTCGAGGATCGGACACCGGTTCGCCGCCCCGTTGACTCTCCCCGGGTCGCTAATCTTCGTGAGCGGCCCGACCGGATAGACCGGTGGGTTTCCTGAATCCGGTTCTTGTAAAGAGCCCATTTCGGTACTTAGGGTCGGTTGATAACCTACAGCAGAGGGCATTCGGCCCAATAAAGCCGAAACTTCGGATCCCGCTTGGACAAAACGAAAGATATTATCAATAAAGAGAAGTACGTCTTGCCGATTCACATCTCGGAAATATTCCGCCATAGTTAGGGCGGTCAAACCAACTCTCATACGAGCTCCTGGGGGTTCATTCATCTGACCGTAAACTAGGGCCACTTTTGATTCGGCCAGTTTTTGTTGATTAATAACTCCAGATTCTTTCATTTCCATATAAAGATCATTTCCCTCACGAGTACGTTCCCCTACACCTCCAAATACGGATACTCCTCCGTAAGCTTTGGCAATATTGTTAATTAATTCCATAATTAAGACAGTTTTTCCTACTCCAGCCCCCCCAAATAATCCGACTTTTCCTCCACGCCGATAGGGGGCTAACAGATCGACAACTTTAATTCCTGTTTCAAAAATTGATAATCTTGTATCTAACTTTAAAAACGGGGGTGCAGATCTATGAATAGGAGATAGTTGATTAGTCTCGACAGGACCCAATTGATCCACAGGCTCCCCAAGCACGTTGAAAATTCGTCCCAATGTTGATCCACCGACCGGAACACTTATTGGAGTTCCCGTGTCAATTACTTCCATACCTCGCATTAGACCATCCGTATCACTCATAGCGACAGCTCTAACTCGATTATTTCCCAATAATTGCTGGACCTCACAAGTCACGTTTGGTTCTTGCTTGTGTCGTCCTTGAACTACCAGAGCATTATAAATAGAAGGCATCATGCCTGGTGAAAAGGCTACATCAAGGACCGGACCAATTATTTGGACGATATACCCTCGTTTTTTTTTGTCAATCGAGGAAACCTCATAATCATAATTAGGAGTTAGTCTCATAGAACTGAACTTTACTCAAAAAATCAAACTTTTCGGATTCAAAATCAAAAGTAAAAAGAAATTTATAGCCTTATTCATAGTACAGGGGTAATTCAATAGGAGATTTTGACTCTAGTTGTTAGTAGTATCTAAGTCAATCCCTCATTTGAAGGTTTATTCAATACCTTCCATAATAGCCACTCGAGCTCCTAATATGATTTCTGACTTTCTCAGTGGCTTTTTTTTTTCTCATCATTTCCCGTTAAAATTCAAACAGGGTTGGACTAGATATATGGAAGGGTAGACACTATCTTATAGTATTGATATTGATGCATTTGTTATTTGTAAATGAAACTCAAAAACCAAAAGAATAAATAATATAAGATCATTGTCAATACTCTTTATGAGCTGGGAATTCGGTCAAAAATGCCTTTCATTCCTGTCGAATAGATCTTGTTGTTATTAATTCATGAGTTCGAAGGAGGAATTTATGTCACCACAAACAGAGACTAAAACAAGTGTTGGATTCGAAGGAGGTCGTATATGCTTGTTTTCACTTTAGTCTTATCTTAATTTTAATTAAATCTAATGTCATAAATCATGCTCCCTTTGTCTATAAATGACTTACACATTTATTATAAAAAAATCGTGGGAACTTTCATTTCATTTTTATTTATATATCAATCTTTAAATAAAATAAATTGATAAAACTTAAGATTTTACTTCGTTTCGCGTAAAGAGTAAAATGATTTAGAACAAAGGGAGTATTTCAATATAAAAACATTAAATATACTATTTTCATATATTTAACATATTTTAAACTAAATTATACTCCGTATATGGAGTATATAGTACTCCCTCCGTCCCATAAAGTGTTACCCATTTTGACTAAAGTAGAAATTAAGGGAGGGATAATTTTGTGATGACTTTCCAAAAATATCCTTGATGTGATGAGTAAAAGTAGGATGTGATGTGTAGATTATTAGAAAAAAGGTATGATGTGATAGGTAGGGTTTGAAAAAGTAAGGGATAAACGTGGTTTTTTAATAGAAATGGGTAGGAGATTGTGGGACACAATTTTTTTGAAAAGTGTAAATCTTTTTGGGATGAAGGAAGTATTTTTTATTTCTATTGTCAATCTCGATAACATATTAAACATCAATTTGTAGTTATTAGACTAATAGATTGAACATAGCTCTAATGATATAAATTGAACATATTTGTGTAACTAATTTAGTTATTTAAAACATGAACTTCATGAATTGTTATATGAATACAAATTCTATGATAAAAACACCCTAATAACTTAACAACACATTCAATACATTATATATATATATATATATATATATATATATATATATATATATATATATATATATATATATATATATATATATATATATGCTCTTTTACAATAAATAGATGCGGAAAGACAAATATGCCCTTTTTATCTTCAAACTTACAAAAGGGTCACATTACATTAGTTTTCACAATCTTATGAAACTTGAAATATAATCATCAAACAATAAATATATTTATGTAATAATAATAATAATAATAATAATAATTAGGCAAACCATCCTGCAGGCATATAGTTATTCAAACTTGGCCCTGCTTCTCCTACTGTTATTGGGTCATTTGGGTACCTGAAAAATACAAATTCTTTCAATTATTATGATGTCAAGTTAACTCTTAAACTAGAACAAAATTTCAGAGTGTCACAGTATAATTTGATTGATTGACAAGAAATGGGTTAAATGTCCAGTCAATTCCGAAAAAATTCATTTTTTAGGAATTTTTAAAAAATGGGAATCAGAAGAACCAAAAACAATTTTTTTTGCCAAACACGCCCCTCTCAAGTTTTCCAAGATACATATGTGACACAAATTAAACATTTCCCTAGCTAGTCCAATAGAGGAAAACTTGAAGAATAAAGTTGAAATTAATTCTGTTTACAGAACAAATTTAAGAAAAACCTCAAACTTATAATTGGAAGACGATAAAATATAATGTTAAAAAAAATATTAAAAAAGAAAAAACTTACCCAATGTGTAATGTGGGCTCACAGTGGAGAGGATGAAAGAAGAGATCAGCCTGATGATGATGGTCATGAGTTGGTTGACGTCCATACCCTCCCATTTCTTGTGCCGTGTTTGGATTGTTCCAATGCAAATTTAGCTGGTTTCCTTCCATCAACTGCACATTTTTTTAAAAAATGAGTCTTATATATATTACCGAGTAATTATAAAATTAAGCTGCCTATAATTTGACCTAAACTAATAGGAAAACTCCTAATATTATTTAGTTTCCTTATTCTTGTATTACCATAATTACTTTATTCCTTTCCTACTAGGAATAGGACTCTCTCTTGTAATCCCTATATATAGGAACATATCTCTCAATATTCAATAAGATAAATTATTATCAAATTGTATCATGGTATCAGAGCCTAGGTTTAAACCCTAGCCCTTTTTTTCGAGACTGTGCCTTCACCGCCGGTCTCCTTCCTCTCGCCGGTCGACCATAAACGGCAATCATGGCTCAATCTTCAGATCCGCTTGCTTCGCTTCCTTCTGGCATCAAGCTTCTTCTCCGCAATCTCCATAATCTTATCCCAGAGAAGCTCACCGATTCAAATTATCCTGCATGGTCTCTCAATGTCAAAACTGCTCTCGAGGCCAACCTTCTTCTTGGTTGGATCGATGGTCATGAAGCTGCGCCTCCAAAAATCCTATCCAAGGATGGCAAGGAAAACCCTAACCCAGAATTCCAAACATGGATTGTGATTGATACTCAGATCCGTGCATGCCTTCTTGCCGTCATCAGTCCGTCTGTTCACAAGCATGTCCGCAACTTCACCACATCTGCCGATCTATGGAACGCTCTCGCTGCCCGGTATAATTCTGTTTCTACCGCTCACATCTATCAACTACGGGACAAACTTCACACACTCCGAAAAGGTACAAAAACTATCACCCAGTACCTTGATGAAGTTGCCACTATCCTCACCGATTTGGATGCTCTCAACGAGGTTATTCCTGAGAGAGATGTGGTGAATGCTGTTATCCGAGGCCTCCCTCATGAATATTCCTCCTTCAAGCAAAATATACGGATGAACAATGAGAATATAAGTCTCAATCAACTCTCTGGGTGGCTAACCTC